AGTTATTCACAAATTCTTTAGTTAAGAGATTTTTAGTAAGACGCTACATTATTCATTAGCCGATTTTAAATACTTAACCTACCCACACTACTATAATCGTTAATCTTCTGAATGAGATACATATGTATAGATCTATATGGGGTTGACATCCCCCCATGTGGTTACTAGCTACAAACTCGACCGATCAATCGAAGCGGGTGATAGGTGTCTATAACTTTTATTACAACGTCCAATGAAGCGTTGTAGGGGGTACACTTAGTCATATAGCTCAGTTATAGGACTCACTAAAACATCAATTAGAATATGTATCTCTCTCTCTCTCTCTTACTACAACCATGGGCTTGGTTGCTTTCAAAACTATTTTTATTATGAAATTACTTATGTAACATAACGGTTTGGTTTTCAAGGATATTGAAAGGTTTATTACAAACACAGTTTAAAGTTTGGATTTACTTATACAAAAGATACATTTTGGATTTCAAATATTTATTAGAAACACGGTTAAAGTATGGATCTACTTATACGGAAATACATTTTAGGCTTTTAAAAGACTCATTGCATACACTGTTTTTAACTATCATTATATATACAGAGATAATACTTTTTGGACTTATTAAAAGTGTTATTGCAGTTAGCAAGAAACCTGTAACGCTCACCAACCTTGTGTTGGCCCTCTAAACTACATGTATTCTCAGAATATATTTAAACAAACATTCAAAACTGATTAGATTACACGTGACCTAGTTACTTGATGTTGTATTATATGTCTATCAAAAAAGGCAATTCATATATTATTATTATTTGTAAAAAGATTGTATTCAAACATCAGGATGGAATGTAAAAGTTATTTTGTTTATTGTTGTACTTATGCTATATATTCAGTTTACGTGTGACCCATGAATTTAGCCGCACATCCTGCCATGTTCCGCCGCCTCGGCTGGAGGCATGACATGTTCAAATGTTGTATGTTCAATTAGAGCAAATGTAGATTTTCAATTCAGGTTGCATGCACACATAAATTTTGTTTGTTATGCTCAAAACCCATCAATATGATTTTTGGATTTTGTACTTTGATATTATTTCACTATGATACACACTTGGTTGTTTTGAAATGACTATTGAATGTTTTGGAATGAATTAAAAATGAAAAATTTTATCTGAAAATTTTAAGATGTTACATGATTAAACTCGTTAAGTAGATTTGTCATGTTAAAGTCTAACCCCTAAGTAATTAAACGATTGTTTGAAGAAGATACAGACTCATGATCAAGGTAAGGTATTTGATTAAAAAAAATTAGGCATGAATTGCTCTGGAGTTAAACATTTTCAATCTGATAAAGCATCAAACTCTTAACTTAATCCTCAGTAAGCGATAAACATGCACAAATTAGAAGTTAATTTTTTAGGAAAAAATTTATACAAGTCAAACGTAATAAAAAATGTGTTTAATAATAACTTATAAATATATAAAAAAACATAGTATTTTTTACTGAAAAATATAATATAGTATGTAAGAAATATATAAGTAAAACATCTATTCAAATAGTGTATTCTGAGTTTCTCTTCTGTTTAGCATCGTTACATAATGGACTTTTGATATTAAAATTGAAAGTAAGTTATATGATGATATCGACATGATATATTTGGGTTGAAATTTTCATTGCCACCTACATTTGCAACATAAAAGTAACAATAATGAATAAATATTGGTAATGTGACATTCCAAAATTGATACAATATAAAATAGTTTTTTTATAATATGTTTTAAATTAAAATAATAAATGCAAATAAAATTAAATTGATTTTTATATAAACAATTATCAATTGACATGGTAGACATAACATTAGATGTGTTCAACAACTAAAGCGCTTGACCAAGCATGGATTAAATTGATGTGTTCAGTTAGCAGTCTGATTTCGGTCGTCATAAATCAGAAATCGGGAAACAAAACTTGGACAATGAGATTGTTTATAATCCATGTCTCATTTCCATACGATATCTTGTAGAACGGAAGAATGTTTGATCACATATCTTAGGACATGTAACTGACTGGGTCAGAGTTCGACAGCGACTCTCGACAGCGACTTTTAAGAGCTATAATTTGCTATTCAATTTTAGAAGTTATACTTGCAACTATAATTATTAGACTTATCCAAGTGAGAGACTGTTGGATTAGGTGTCTAAGCCCATAATTATAATTGGTATATACTTAAATTGATAGTAGCATAGTCCTTTTAGGTTGCCCTCAAATCTAGCAACTGGACATGATGACTTTGGAGAGAGAGTTTTGATTTATTATTTGATTAATAAATTGAAATAAATAATTTATTAATATATTATGAGAATAATATATTAATTAAAAATAGTAATATTTAATCAGAATTTAATTGGAATTAATTTTGGAATTAAAAGAACTAATTAAAACTGCATAAGCTAAAGTGTAATTCTTCAATAGTTGAGCAAGAGGTTCCAGAACCTTCCTATGGAAGGAGGGTGACGGTTTTATGGGATAATTCTAGAGTTTCTAGAATATCTCATAATGATAATATTAAGGCGGTGGATAACTACCAATTTGAAATAGTAATATTATAAGGTTATCCAGAGTATCCTTGGTACACTATATAAAGGCCTCTGCACCACAGGATTTTTGGCCATTCTATTCCCTCAAGAAATAGTCAAAAATCTCATCTCCCTTCTCCACTCTCCTCTCTCAGATCTTCTTGTTAGTGTTGGGTGTGAACCATTAGAGGCATGACATTTGTGGTGTTTTCTCTCTAAGCTTCAACAACACAAGGGTTTCTTATTATTCATCAATAACAATCAAATGTATGTTTTCTAACCTTAGATCCTAATTTTTAAAATAGAATAGGATTCCTAGGGCTTCCCAGTTGATGTTTTGTGACATCCCAGAATTTAGGTCAAAGACTGTGAACGGTCAAGTTCACAGTAAGTCTCTTGGTCAATTGACTCGTTGAGTTTTAGTGCACCTAATATAAAATAAATGAGTTATTTCAACTATTATAAGATACCAGATGGTATCTTACTTCTAAATATTTATCTGACAAACAAATCAAACAGTTCAAACGGCAAACATAGGAATGTGTCTGAAAAACTAAAATTTCGTATTAAGCCCTTGTGAGAAAAACAGACTCTAGCCTCGTAGTATGTATTTTCCTGATTCTAAAAACATAAAGAACGTCCAAATCAGAGTTCATACGCAAAAAATATAACCGTTTTAAGAATAAAAAACCAGTAAAATACTGATTTTCTTAAAACCGTTTCTATCCGCTAAAACCGTTTCTATCCGTTAAGGGACTTACACACCTCAAATCAAACGTTTTCAGGTTTATTAATCATAAAACGTTAAAACTATTTATTTCAACATGATTTAATTATTGGTTATGTATTTAAGAATAATATATAAACCCAAATTCGGTCAATGTGGATTTCAACGATGGAAATAACACAACACTCATAAATTCATGAACGGCTAACAATGGAAATAGCTCAACACTCATAAATTCGTGAACGGCTATATATATATATATATATATATATATATATATATATATATATATATATATATATATATATATATATATCGGGGAGAGTTCATGCGAAAATGCAAATAATTTGCGAAAACGCGAAAACAAGAAGAACCAATGACATTGTGTCACCTCAACATTATATTTTGGAAAATAATTCATCCAAACTTTGAAATATATGATGATAATCGATGATAGATGATAAATTGTTTCATATTAGCAAAGTATGATTTTTAACATTTTTATTAAGAAAACATGAATTTAAAAATGATTAAGGACGTAAAAAAATATAATTATCAAAACCGTCTTTAAATCTACATTACCATAACACCGTCCAATGTAAACTTACTATATTTAATTTATTACTAATAAATTTATTTTTTTATAGTACATGTGCTTGATTTTCACAAGATAAAATCTGTTTTCGCATTTTCGCAAGATATTTATATTTTCGCATGAACCTACTTCTATATATATATATATATATATATATATATATATACACACACACACACACACGTATGGGACATATGTCATAATCAATTACATGTGATTGATTAAATTTTCATAAATATACACTATAGATGTATAATTTTATATATAAGAGACTAATACTTAACAAATTAACAATTTCATATTTCCTAACGTATGAGTTTAAATTTATGTAATACCCAAATGTGTATGCTAGTGTATAAAACTAGTAAAATAAATCAATACCGATCCAAATGCACAAATAATTAGGGTATTATATTCCTTCAAAATCCAAACCAAACAAATACATAAATAATTAAACTAATGCATACACAAAAACATGTATGATATGTACATTGTTATCCAAATACTTATACGTACTTATATAACTAATACAATTCAAGAAAGTGTATACTTGGTTAAAATGAACACTACAAACTTAACCATAATAATTTATACAAGTTAAACCCAAAATCCTTCCAAGACTATTAAAGTACAACCAACCAAGGTTTTTCCCAAAATCTGATAATAAATCATATTATCAACAAATTACATATGAAAATTTAATAATTACAGATTATACAAACAAATGCATACCCAATTAAAACATACATCAATACATAATGAAACAAATACATAATACAAATTACAAAAATAAAACTTATACCCTTTACATTTAAAATGACAATACAAATTACAAAAATAAAACTTGTACCCTTTACATTTAAAATGACAGCACACTTATGATTTCTTCTAAGATTTGTTTTGCACAAGTAAACACTAAAAGAATGACTCTTACACCCATTACTTTTCCTTTCCACGTTTCATTGCTTCTCCCTCACTACATCTCACAGGTACGGAGGTATGGTGGTATTGTTCTCCACATCAACTGATAAATTGGTTCACAAACAATCAACACACAATCAAAACTGAAAAAAACACTCAAACACTCATATAGCTCTTTCCATTTGCACTGATTCCTGTCAACTATTCTTGTTCTCGGGTATATCTGCAAACAAAAAAGAAAAAGAAAAAAGAGCAACAAAACATTTTCGTTTCCTTTCCTTCACTGTCGAACATACAAACCAAACATACCAGTTCATCCATCGACCAGTCAACAAAAAAAAAAAAAAAAAAAAAACGAAGATGAAGAACAGAGGAGGCTGTCGAAGCAGACCCCCCATCCATTACCTGCAATAGTCGGAGGAAGGCTGTTCCTCGCCCTTTTTGCTCGTCGATCACCACCGAGACCGAATCCCCATCCGCTTTTCCTTCTCTTCGGTCCCATCGGGACCCTTTCTTGCCACTGATCGAACCCCGTCACTCCCACATCTCCATCTTCCGTCGAGCACAACCCCGAAACATCCCTTGATCGGCGCGCGTTAACCCCTTTCGCGACCGGCCGAAGGACCGAGACCTCTTTTACCCTCGCTTCTCACTCCCTTTCGCCAACCCCACTGCAGCATCACTACTTCTGCCCATGTTCTTCTTCCGTCTAGTCGACCACCGGAGCTCTCCAGTCGGGTGCGATGGGTCTGAAATCGCCGGACGAGAAAGAGAAAGCCTTGCCTTCGTCTCTTCTCCCTCTTCTCCATCAGTTAAGTCTTCCGGATTAACCGATGCGAGCCTTCTCTCTCCACTCTTCCCCAGTCGAGCCGGATTCACCACAATCGCATTATTCGCCATTCATCTGTGTTCTCTATGTCGGCTGCTTTTAATGGAAGGTGTCCATTTCTATTGCTCGATGAATGAAACACGGGAATTAAAAACCCTAGATTACTTAAGTTTGGCAAGTTAACATAATCAGTCCCTCTATGGGATTTTTTCTTACACAAAAGCACTAAATCATTTTGGCAAGTTAAATATCATCCTTCTTAATTTTATTGCTACCTATTTAAGATGATGACAAGTGTACAAATTTAACATCTTATTCAAATTTAAATTAAATTAAATAAAACTTGTCACCATCTAAAATATGTAGGAATATATTAGGCACAAAAAGTAGTAAGATATTTAATTTCTCTTTCCAAAATGAACATATTAAGCCCTCTTTTGAAACCAGTTCCAATCCTCAAATATTGTACCCATTTATTCAAAAAGACCCCTCCTTTGATTAATTTAAAAAAAATAGATCCAAATCTTCAAACTTAGAGTAAAAATAACCATTTCAACTCCTCTCTTGAAATATTTTAACCAAATCAGTCCCCAATAGTTCAAATTTGTTACGAAATGGTCCCGAGAGTATTTCAAAGTTCAAGATTGGTGGATTTACGGTTTCTCACGTCAAGCTTCTCAAACAAACCGACTTCGAACAAATAGAACTCACGCTTCAAATGTGAGTGCTTACGACCCTTTTTTAATATTATAATTATTTTCAGGAGGGTGGGTGGTAATACATGTGCTAGGCTTGAGAGTTTTTCATAAACTTTTTAGCTAAGCGATTTTTAGTGAGACGCTATGTTATTCATTAGCTGAGTTTACATAGTTAGCTTACCCACACTAGTGTAACTGATAATCTTCAGAGCGAGTTACATATGTATAGATCTATACGTGGTTGACATCCCCACCTACGGTTGCTAGCAACAACTCTCGACCGATCAATCGAAGTGGGTGGTGTCTACAATTTTTACTACAACGTCCAATGAAGCGTTGTAGGGGTACACTCATTCATATAGCTCGGTTATAGGACTTACTAAAAACATTAACTAGAATATATCTCACTCTCTATAATTTTGAACCTTACCATGAGAGGATTTGAGGTGACTGCTTACACCTCCCGATTTAATGACCTCACAAAACTTTCCGCATGAATGGTGAACCTGGAATACAAAGAGACCAAAAGGTACATCTAGGGATTTGCTTCACCAGTTCAAGGTTTAGTTACTCTATCCAGACCCACTACCTTTGATAGTACCAAGCAATTGGCATATAAATTGATTGAGAAGTGTATCCATCAGGGTTCCATAACCCCCACAAACTAAAAGGAACAAGTTAGGAGTACAAAAAGGAATTTCCATGTGAATTTAAAAGGGAACTTCAAGCGTCACAAACCCAAAACCTATGGTTGTGCACACTGTAATCATAAACACACCCACTCAATCAAAGCCCCACTTTAGGACTTTACCTCACTATACTATGTGCAATTTCCACCATATCGGAAATTGTGTGGTCTGCAACACTTTTAACTTGAGAGGTCACACCTTTAAGTTTTGCAGAAATTCCCCGAATAACCATGTCTTTCACGTCCACCTACTATGTAACATTCGGATTCCCAGATATCTTATTTTAAGTATATATCTTGAGTTTTAGGGAGGGAATCGACGAGTAGGCGCTCAGACTTTCCGAGCAGGTGCTCAAATTTCTATCCGGATTAATGACCGGACTCGATGAGTCGATGAGTGGACTCAGCGATTATGCGCTGTTAAGTGGAAACCCTAAATCTCAGGGCCTGAGCCCTATTTAGAGACCCTCATTGGCCATCATTTGAGGCCATTACTCCCCTGTGAAAATCCTAGAGAGCAAAGAGAGCTTAAAGAGCATTTTGGACGCTAATTCTTCATCCTTTTATGTGATTTTGCAAGAAGGAGTAGGGAAACCCAAGCTAGAACAATTGTGGATCTTGGATTTATGTTGTTCACACTGAGATTCACGTTTTGAGGTAAAAGTTCCTTCCCATTTTGTGTATTTGATAGATTCCTAGAATCTAGGGTTTCCTTTGTGCCATTTTGAGTTGGATTGTGAATCATTTGGGGTCCCTTTGGTATAGATGATAGATTTGGACCTTGAGAGGTCCAAAAGGTCCTAAGCTTCTAGCTTTATGAGGTTTCATGTGAGCCTTGAGAGTTGAACCCCATTTTAAAGGTTATTTCTCCATTTTTGGTCTTATAAGCATTACATGAACATAAAGTTTGAACCTTTACGTGAATTTCGAGTGTTAGGAGGATACATCTACTGGTTGGTGAAGCAGCTCTGACCTCAAAGGATCATTTGATTGTTTTCATGGGAGAAACTCGTCGAGCCCATTAGGGACTCGAGGAGTCGAGTCGGGTAACCCTGCGATTCGCGACCTGTATTGACCCGTTGAGTGTAGGGTTGACTCAACGAGTCGAGTGAGGACCAGGGGAGAAGAGGACATGAATGGACTCACCGAATCGCACGAGTGCACTCGACAAGTCTAGTCAAAGTTTAACCATTGACTTTTGTTGACTTTTAGGGTTTGGTCAACAATTGGACTTGAAGACCATTTGAAGGGTAAATGGTCTTTTAGCCTTCTTAGAGGACATGGAAGAGACTAGTCTAGCCTGGAGAGCCGTTATTGATTTGAGATAATTGTTTATGTGTTTAGGTGGAGGCTAGATCGGTGTATATGTCTGCGAGATTATCCGAGATAGCCGAGGTGAGTCTTCTCACTATACTATACCTTAAAGGGTACCTATGTGTGATCGGAAGGTCTTATATGTGCTATATGCTAATATGTGACATGTATGTGTTATGTATGCTATGTATGACAAGGATCGGAAGGACAAGATGATATGGACCGAAAGGTCAAGAGGACATGGACCGGAAGGTCAGGAGGTTATGGACCGGAAGGTCGATACGGGTAGGACTGGAAGGTCTACCGGGATTTGGGTCGGAAGTCTCCTGAGACACTTAGACCGGAAGGTCCTCAAGATTTATGGCCTGGAAAGGCGTATGTGTTGTATGTGGTATTTTGGGGGACTTAATAAGCATTTATGCTTACAGTTGTTGTGTTGGGTGTTTCAGGTACTAGCGAGGACCGTAGGAAGGTACTGACATGATCCGTACACACTGAGACGATTTATGTAGTTGAGATCTTTTTAAATTATGGGATTTGTTTATTATGATGACATTGGATACAGTTGTTGGATATTGTTTCTGGTGATTGAAATTATGATTTAAAATTGAAAAAATTGTTTTGAAAATTTACGTCGTTACATACTAACTATGAGCATTGGAAGTTTTGATGTGATCATCGGAATGGATTAGTTATCACTTCATCAAACGTATATTTTATGTTACAAAAAGTCATCCGACTACCTTTACCCAACAATGAAACTCTTATCATTTACGAAGATAAATCAAGAAAGAACCTAAAAGTCATCACTTACATGAAGGAAATGAAGCACTTCAAAAGAGACGGTTCACTTTCTTGGCCCACGCGGTGGATATGCAAGACAGGGGTAAGGAAATCAAATAGATACAGCAAGTGTGTGATTATACGAACGTATTTCCTGGAGGACCTCTAGTCAAACAAGTCGAATTTTGTATCAACCTAATCCATAGTGCAGATTCAGTGACAATATCTCCTTATAGTCTAGCTCCATCGGAAATGCAAGAACTATGTAGTCAACTCCAAAAAACTTCTTGAAAAAAGCTTTATCCGGCCAAGTTTCTCTCCATGAGGAGCTCCAGTATTGTTTGTCAAAAATAAGGATGGATCATTCAGGATATGTATTGACTATTGAAAGTTGAGCAAACTCGCCATCAAGAGCCTATATCTACTCCTGAAGATCGATGACTTGTTTGACCAACTACAAGGATCTCATTACTACTCAAAGATTGATCTTAGATTCTGATATCATCAAATTAGAGTCCAAAAAGAAAACATACGAAAGACGACATTCATGACTCAGTATAGTCACTAATAGTTTCTGGTCATGCCATTCGTACTAACCAACGACAACAAATGAAGATCGCTAATCCCTAGGGCTTAAAGACCATTAGCGGAGATTCATCGAGAACTTCTCCAAGATAGCCAAGCCTCTCACCGTTCTAACCCAGAAAGACAAGAAGTTCTATTGGGTAAACAGACAAGAGTCTGCCTTTCCAAAATTGAATCATTCGTTGTGCAGTGCACCAATTTTGTCTCTTCCAGAAGAAACAAAAGACATTTTAGTAATTTGCGATGCCTCATACCTAGAGTTAGGATGCGTGTTGATGCAAAGAAATAAATGTCATTGCATATTTATCCAGACAATCCAAGCCAAAAAAAAAGACCAACTACACTACCCACGACTTGAAGTTAGGATCTATAGTGTTTGCCTTAATGATCAGAGACACTACCTGTACGGAAAAAAGTGTGACCTATTCACCAACCATACAATCCTCCAACACATCTTCCACCAGAAGGAACTCAATATGAGGCAACGAAAGTGTGTAGAATTTCTAAATGATTACCGATGTAAAATTCGTTATAATCATGGTAAAACAAATGTCATGTCAGAAGCTTAAGCAGGAAAGAAAAAGAAATGCCACTTTGTGTAAAGGCTCTTACCCTAACCATCCAGTCCAATCTCACCATCCAAATTAGAGATGCTCAGTTGGAAGCACTCAAACCCGAGAATATCATTGGAAAAAATCTGCAAGGTATGGACAAACGGTTCGACCTCAAGGAAAACGGAACACGATATTTTCATGAACTAAATTTGGACCCCAAAGTTCGGTGAATTCAGGAGTCTGGTTCTAAACAAAGCTCACAAATCATGATATTCAGTGCCTCTCAGATCAAATTAGATGTCTCTCAATCTCAAGAAGCTTTATTGGTAACCCAACATGAAGCTAGAGATTGCCACCTATAACAATAAATGTTTGACTTACTCCAAAGTCAAAGCAGGGTACCAGGAGCCTTCTGGTCTACTACAATAACCGTTAATCCTATAATGGAG